TTTCTCTGCATCGCCGTCAGCATGGTTATGAGCTTTATTTTTAATTATTTTTCAGGAAGACTGGTTAGGTCTATCTCCTTCTCAGGGTTTGCCTCTTTGATCTTGGTCTGTATCAATTTCTTCTGCCTTTTCATGGCGATAGATGTATTTGTGGGGAGCTGGCGCGTGTGTCGGGTAAGAGAAAGTCCCTTCTTGCCAGTTTATGGCCTTCCTGTCCTGGGAGAACAGCGGCCTCTAGTGGCTTGTGCTGGGCAGCTGCATGCAGACGAGGCTTTTGATCTTTCCCTGCTGCTATGGAGTTTATTTAGCTCTGCAGTTGCTGTGGGCGTGGTTGGCCTCAGGCTGCTGCTCCAATATGGCGGAGCCGCATTGGAGGCGGAACAGGCGGGAGGCTCTTTATCGTGGTGAGGGGCCTCTGAGCTTCTCTGTTGGGGTTTGGGCACCCAGAGCTCCCTGAGGTTCGCAGCTTCTGGGCTAAGTGTCCTGGGGCACTTATGTCCAGCTGTGGGGTCCCTGTCCCATTAAGACTTTCAAAAGCACTCACTTTTCTTTGTCCTGGGTGCGCCAGCTGCGGGGACCCGCTCACAGGTCTTACTGTTTCCCTAGTATCCAGGACCCCACGCATGCACTGTGTCTGTGCTCCAGGGCGGATGGCTAGGGCTGGGTGTTCAGCAGTCCTGGGTTCCCTCTCCCTCCCTGCTCCAACTCCTCCCGCTGGGAGCTGGGGTGAGGGGCGCTCGGGTCCCACCGGGCCGCATCTTGTATCTTACCCCCTTTGTGAGGCGCTGGGTTCTTGTGGGTATGGATGTATTCTGGCTGTTGTCCTGTGTCTTCTGGTCTCTCTTTTAGGATTAGTTGTTTTTGTTGTATTTTCAAAAATATATTTGGTTTTGGGAGGAGATTTCCACTGCTCTACTCACGCCTCCATATTTGTTCTCCTTGAGATAGTAATACTTTATATCTTCTCAGCCATGTGGTTTGTTTGTTTCGGTAATTTGATTTTTGTAATTGAAGTGTAGTTGATAAACAATATTTTATTGGTTTCAGGCATACAACAGTGAATTATACATACCACATTAAGTGTAGTTACCATCTGTCACCACACAAAGTTATTACAATATTATTGACTATATTACCTATGGTGTATTTTTCATCCCTGTGACTTACTTACTTTGTAATTGGAAATCTACCTCTTTATCTCCTTCACCTATTTAACCTACTCCCCTCCCCTATGACAACCACCAGTTTGTTGTCTGTATTTGAGTCTGTTTCTGTTTTGTTTATTCATTTTATTGTTTTAGAGTTCACGTATCAATGAAATCATACAATATATGTCTTTCTCTGACTTTATTTCACTTAGCATAATACCCTCTAGGTCCATCCATACTATCACAAGTGACAATATTTCATTCTTACTTATGTCTGTGATATTCCATTGTATATATGTACATCATCTTTATCCATTTATCTCTTGATGAACACTTGGGTTGCTTCCATATTTTGGCTATTGTAAATAATGCTGCAGTAACATAGGAATTCATACATCTTTTCAAATTAGTGATTTTGTTTTCTTTAAGCGAATTCCTTAAAGTGAAATTACTGGGTTGTATGGTATTTCTATTTAAAGTTTTTTGAAAAACCTCCTTACTGTTTTCCATAGTGGCTGCACCAATTTACATTCCCACCAACAGTGCAGAAGGGTGCCCTTTTCTCCACATCCTCACCAACACTTGTTATTCCTTGTCTTTTTGATGCAAGCCGTACTAACCAGTTTGAGGTGATATCTCTTGTAGCTTTGATTTTCATTTCCTTGATGATTAGTGATGATAAGCATCTTGTCATCTGTCTGTTGGCCATCTGTATGTCTTCTTTGGAAGAATGTGTATTCAGATCTTCTGCCCATTTTTTAATTGATTATTGGCTTTTTTGCTGTTCAGTTGTACAAGTTCTTTATATATTTATATATTAACTCCTTGTCAGATATGTCATTTGTAAATATCTTCTCCCATTCAGGAGGTTGCCTTTTTGTTTTGTTCATGGTTTGGAAGAACTGATATTGGCAAAATGACCATACTACCCTAGGCAATGGGTACCATACTACTTTGTCAGTACCATACTACTTTGGTACAGAAGCTTTTTAGTTTGATAGAGTCCCACTTGCTTATTTTTGCTTTTGTTTGCATTGCCTGCGGAAATATTTACATAGAAACTGCTAATGCCAGTGTCAGGAGTTACTCCCTATATTTTCTTTTAGGAGTTTTATGGTTTCAGATCTTAATTAGGTCTTTAATCCATTTTGAATTTGTTTTTGAGAATGGTGTAAAACAGTGGTCCAGCTTTCCCAGTACTGTTTGTTGAAGACACTGTCTTTTCCCCATTGTATATTCTTACCTCCTTTGTCATATGTAATTGACCATGTCAGTGTGGTGTTTTTTTCTTTGTGGCTGTTAGTGTGGGGATTTAAATCATAAGCCTAGTTGTGAAATAAATTGGGATTGAGTTTTTCATTTGTTATAGTTACCGTCACTGCACCTGGGGCCACAGATTTCTTTAATGTTGTCTGATGCTTATCCTGGAGGTGAAATGTAACATTTCTTCCACTGTTTGTGCTCTACTCTGCATTCCTGCTTCACAGAGGAATTTCTATCCTCATTCTTTCCCCTTCTCAGTGGTAAACTGGTGTTGCTTGTTACTCGGTACTTCCAAGGTTGGTGGAGGAGAGGGCACAGAAAAGGTTCTTTGTTGTTGTGGTATAACCTTGATCTTAGGTAGACTGTATGTGCCTGGACTTTGGGGATCAGACTTTCTGAGTTTCTGCTCCCTCCTTAGCAGTAGGAGGCTTCTAGCTGTACTGATAAAAGATTCTGGGCTCAGGATTGTTCTTGTTCCCCTTCCTCCAAGGAATTGAGAGTTTTACAAGGTATGCAATGTGTGTCCCCCTTCTTAAGATTTTTGCTCTTCTTATGTGAGAGAAGGATCTGGGCAGAGTTTCAGGCCTTTGTTCTTTTTCACTGAGGCAGCAAATTCCTTGCACTGGGAGAGTGCCTTATTTCCAGTCATCCTCATGGGCACCCAGTGGAGGTCTGTGGAAATCTATAAATGAGTGCAAAATGTTCTTCCCTGGTTGTATGACAATGGTATCTTCCTTTTGCTCTGCCACAGCTGACCCACTTTTGGCAGCTTATTTCTCTTTGGAAAGTATCTGGCCACCTTGGAATCCAGGTTACTTATCTTGTGACTTTAGCTCTCCGATGGATTTAAGAAAAGTTTTGAGTAACTTGAAAGTATTTTAATTGCCAGTGTTCTAGAATTTTCCAAATATCTTTTTTTACTGACATTTAGTTTAATTACACTGTGATCAAAGAAGGTATACTTTGGATTCTTCTAAATGTATTTATTAAGACTTGTTTTATGATCCAGGATATGGTTCATTGTAGTGAAGTTCCATGTACAATAGCTGGGTGAAATGGTCTGTGACAGTGAGTTTAATTAAGTTGATTGAAATTGTTGTTCAAATCTTGTATGCTTAAGACTGATTTTTTTTTCTGTTAGTTACTGAGAGAGGGGTGTTGAATTTTCCAACTATGATGGTGGTTCTATCAATTTTCCCTTTTGTATTTTGAAGCACTGATACTTGGGATTGTTGTGACTTGAGAAATTCTTTTGTCATTATGAAGTGTGACTTTTTCATCTGGAAATTTTTGTCTTGAGTGTAGTTTAAGAGTAGCCTCGCAGTAGCTTTCTGTTGCTGTTTCTTGTTTCCTTTGCCAAGTGCCACGTTGTGTACTTCTGGTTTAAGAGTTAGTCAAATGTGGGGGGAGATTTCATACAGATTTGGAGGCTTTACATTCTGGTTTCCTTTCTGGGATTTTTCTTCCTCACTGTCTGCTACAATGGCTACCTCAGTCTCTAACCTATGACTTTTCTGTCTGGTAAAACTGTTGCATTCTGCTTGAGCTACATCCTTTCCCTCATGCTGATTTGGAAGTACTACCATGGGAAGAAATATAGATTTCACATGTGCTTTCCTTCTTTCAAAGGTTGTGTCCATTCCTGTTTCTGTTTAGTGTAGGTAGGTTGATAAATTGTTAGTTTTTAAGTTGAGAAATTGTCCAAAGTTTATTATTGTTATTATCGGGGATTAGTCTGGTACAAGGTGCTCTGCCATATCCAGCACCAGAATTCCTCTAAATTATTTCACTTTAGAATAACACCTGCCTTTCATCCCATTACCTTGATTTTCTATAAAGTCCTGCCCAGTCTTTTGTAAAAATCCTACAATCAGGATATTTGTCTGATTAATTCCTTATAGTGATATTTAACTTGTTTCTCTATACCTTGTATTTCCTGTAAACTGGAACTTAGATCAAGAGATTCTATTAGATTCTGGTTAAACATTTTTTCTTCCTCATAGATTATCTCTATACTTCCTCTTGTATTACATTAGTGGGAACATAATATTTAAATGTCCCACAGCTGGTAGTGATTAGTTTGATCAATCTATGTAGGTGGTAGTGTACACTGTAAAAATTTGTTTTCCCTTTGTAATTAATAATAAATAATTTCTAGGGTAGTAATTTGCACTGTCTTCATTTTTCATGTCCTATCCAAATGTCACCTTTTAGTTTATTCTAATAAGATGCCAGTACAGAGTGACACTTACCAAGCACTAGCTATTCTTATTGGTATTTAATTCCCATTCCCCAACCAGAAATCCTTATAGGTCATATATACTATACATACTTTAATGCTACATATCTCATACTGTGTGGTGGTTACATAAGTACTTTTTCTTTTAAGTGGATTTTGAGGTACCGAATGTAGATAACATCTTTTTCCTATAGCAGTTTGCATATATAGTAAGCCCTCAGGAAATTATTTTTTATAGGAAGAGAAAATCTGCTAAAAAATCTCAAGCCTTTTTCTATTCAAACATTTTTCAGTCTCTGTCTTAAGTACTGGTTAAATTTAATGTTAATTACACTTTTATTTTGTTGTAGGTAAATGAGAAAACTGGACAGATTATACAGTATGATAAATTTTATATACATGAAGTACAAGAATTAATAGACATAAGGAATGATTATATCAACTGGGTCCAGCAGCAGGCCTATGGAGTGGTATGTTTCCTATTGCATCTTATGATTAATTAACTGTGTCATTTATTCTAATACAAAAGAAACAATTGCTTGTGTTTACAACACTAAAGCTTCTTCAGAGCTTTGATGTTGAAATTTTTTGGAATAATAACACATTGCAAAGGAGCAGCTACATGTTATGTAGTATTTTCAAGTAAACATTTCACTCGTACAGCAAAGCCAAACCAGAGAGATAGAATACACTTTTCTAAGGAAAAATGGAAATGTCACATGGATTTTTAACTCTCATTTATTTTCCATAAGGTTGCCTGTTAATTCTCTAATTTTGAGAATACTGGAGTCCCTGATACTAGAACTCAAAGAATGTATGACTGTTGAGAGATCGATGTCTTGGCTACCAGAGAGGAGCCTGATTCTGTTTATTTTTTCCCCTTTTGTGTGTTTAATTTTATTTCAGATTTCTTTCATACATCCACATGTGTACATACTTCTTTCCATGTGACTAAGTGTATAATAATTAGATACTATTCCACTAGAATAATATCATAGTTTTATAAAGCTTAAATTAGGCACACAGAATTTTAATATAGAAATGGGTTAGCAGCTAGATACATCAGTCAGATTTAATACTCTTATTTGCTGACAAACTTTTCCACCACTGAAGCAGGTAATTTAAGCAATATGTAAGTAGCAGCTGTAGAAGGGTGAGTAGCCTTCCATTGCTTGCCAGGCACCAGCTGCAGGCACTTTGGGAATAGGCATTTTATTCACCAGCACCCCTCATATTATCTGGAAAATGTTTAGTATACCCCCAAAAGTATAGTAGTTTTTGAATGGCGGTGTGATCAGTGCATGTAATTTGTAGGATACTCTCACCTGTAGGAATCAGGTCACTTCTAGAACATTTTTTGCTTCCCTAGATACTTGAGTCTGGAGAAGGAGAAACTTAACTGATCTTTTCCCCCCAGAATCACTGGGAGGCTAGGTCAAGTTTATAACCATCCTACAGATTTAGGTCTACTCATTTACTTGTTCAATAAATGATAATCTCCTATGTAACAGGCATTTAGGTATTGGAAATACAGTGATGAACCAGACAGCTAAGGACCCTGTTCTCATGGAATTTATAATGTAATGGGCAAGGTGGACAGTAATCAAATATAAAACAAGAATTATTAGCTAATAATATGTACTATATAGTTAAAATAAGAATGTAATAAAGACTGGATAGTTTCTGGCAAGTGGGTAATCAGAAGAGTCTTGTCTGATAAAGTATAAACTGTAATTTAAATGATACGAAGCAGCCATGTAAGATTAATAGAGAGTATTTGAGGAAAAATGAACATCTAGTAAAAGTCCTTAGGTGAGAACAAGCTTACATGTTTGAAGGGTAGAAAAAGGCCAGCATGGCTAAAATAAGTCGTGGGCAGAGTTCTGGGAAAGGATGAGAGAAATGCGAAGGTGCCAGATCATGGCAGGTTTAGTGAAATAGGATCAGGAACCTGCAATTTAGCTGAAGTGTTATTGTAAGCCACTGGAGGGTGGTAAGGTGGGGGAAGGGGGTGGGTGGAATACAATTGATTTATATTTTTTAATTGTCTACTATATGGAGAATGGAGTGAGAAGAATGGAGCAAAAATGAAAGAGGGAGACTAGTTAGAAGACTATTTCAGTAGAGTAGGTGCCAGTAGAGGACAGAAAAGGATGGGATTGAGTAGGATGATAGTCGGTGTAGTTGGAAGAGGAAAGTGAACTTGAAATACCTTGATAAAAGGGACAAGAATTGCCAATGAATTGGACATGGGGTAGGAAAGGGTGAAAAATCAACAAAGGAGATTAAGTTGTGGCAAGTGAAGTAGGACAAAAACCAGGAGAGACTTGAGGAAAACAAAATTAAAAAGTGAAGGAGAGACTGTGTTGCATGCTGCTGAGAAATGGGGTGAAACCATAGAATTGAGTGATTAATTTGGTTATGGATGGTCATTGGTAGCCATGGTAATGCCAGTCTGGGGTAAGGTATGCTTAAGAGAAATTTGGAGGTTGAAGAATAGGGTACAAAAACCATAAGCAATACTTTCCAAGAAGTTCTTCAGGAGTCAGGCGACAACAGTTTTTAAGAAAGAAAATACTTGATATCTAGGAAGTTTTGAATAAAAAATATTTCTTTTTTCCATCCCTTTTCGAACTAAATCTCTCACCTAGGCAAAGCTTTTCAGATTCTTCCTCCAGAGCACCCTTAAGAACAGGAAAAAGAGACTGTTTCTTGAGGTTATCAGCTTTGCCTCAAGAGTTTCTGAAGTCTCATATTTTGTCCTCTAATGAACATAAATTTTGGACATAATAGATATTTATTGCAATATAAGTGGTGAGTTTAGTTATTTGCCATTGAGGAAAATTGTTGTTTCAGGAAATGAACTTTGTTTATTCAAAGACTTTACATATAAACCCTGACACATTACATAAGGTACCCTAGGTCTTTGAACAGTTTTTGAAATGAGTGATACATAGACTGCTTTTAAAGTAAAACAATTTCTTACGAAGCCCAGTGTTCAATTACATTTTTTATGATTGTGTTACTTAATTATATACAAACATTGAACTAGTTCTAAAGTCCTAGTGCTTAACTTTTAAAAGAAGTCTAAAACCATAACAAATTTATGAATTGTAAATAACACTACAGATTCAAAAATCAAGTTAAGAATCTTATGGAGGATGATTATGTTCTGATGTATAATAAGGAAACAGTATAACACAAGAGTGCCTAGGTTCAAATCCCACCTCAGAATTTATTCACTCTATGTCCTTAGGAAAATTACTTAATTCCTTTTGCAAATAGTACCTACCTTATATAGTTTTTGAGGAGATTAATCGATAGGATCCATATAAAGTGCTTAGGGCAGTTCTTGGCACATAGTTAAATTAAGTCTTGGTAAAGTGTTGATTACTGGCTGCCTTGACACAGGCTTTAAGTTTGGCAGTAACCTTTATTCTGAGGAGTCTGATAATTGTTCGGTCGCTACCTTGCTCTTCTAATTTTAGACTTTCTAATCAATTTATTTAATTATTGATAGAAAAACCCTAAAATTAAAAATTCTTCCACAGCACTCATAGCCCTAAGAATATATCACTCAGGGATCTACAAGTCCAGTTTGAGAACCATTCTAGAGTTATACACTCCTGTGAATTAGATCAGATGTCCTTTAATACCTGGTTTTATACCTAGTATATAGGTCATAAATTACTTATTCTGTACACGTAAGAGAAGTGCCAGTCTACTAAGATTTCTTTAGTTAGCAGTAGTACTGTTCTGCATAGAAAAGCCATGGTTTGAATGTTTGCTTTTAAGTTTGGCAGGCCTATAGCCATACTCCTCTTGGTATATAGCTGTTGTGATACCAAATTAAATTTTCTTAGAAGCTGCTTTAGTGCTACTGTTTTTGATAAGAGGGAGGCAGTAGAGGACCACCTTCCTATTTCTAGGCTTTTCCTCTTTGCTTCTCATTCTGTCCAGATCTATTACATGGTTGCTGTACTTAAGCATTGCCCTCTATATCTCTACTACCACATGCTTTTCCTTTCTCACCATTATAGACACAGCGATAGTGAATGGGGGGTTGGGCAGTGAAAGCTTGCTCTTTATTTAATTTGTATGTAGGTTTAGTGTTACATCTTAGAAATTGAAATCCAGAACCTATCATTTGGGTTTTTCTGATATACCTATGGGAAAGAAGGCGGACAGCTTACTTTGAAGGTTTTTGGGCAACTCTTTTCATTAATTTATATTAGGATATTTGAGCTCACAGAGCTGCTTTCTCTGAGAGGATTTTGAATTTTGTCACATTGCACATAACTAGAAAGACTTTTTTCTTGAGGCTTTTAAATAAAATTTATACTTGTATTAGTAGTCTTAATGATGGGTGGAATATCATGTTGACACTGTAAGTAGAGCTTTAAAGAATCTATTCTAAAGATACTCACATGCTATTTTGTGATGATACACATGTGTGTATGTGTATTTCTATATACATACACGTATGTATATACAGATACATAACACATATATGTATTTATATGTATATATATACATAACTGTATACCATTATTGAATGACGTACGATCTTGAAATAATTCTGTTGCTTCATTGTGAATGTTAAAATATTCTTTGATAAAACATAATTATGAATTATAAGCAATACGTTTGTAAATTTATATATGTAACATATATATACACACACATGTATTTGTATATATGTAAGTTTACCTTGTTCTAAACACTGCAAAGAAATTATTTTACCTTTATTATATTTGTCTTTATTTGTTGAAGTTTTTTTTTACACTTTCTTTTTTTTCTAGTCAAGGATTTTAAGAATCCATCAAGTATACACTTCCCTGATCCTAAACATTAAAAGCTAACTCTGATAGTCTTAGTTTTCCTTGCAATACCCATGGTACTACTGAGGCTTCTAACTTTTCATCTCATCCCTTTTTCACCTAACTTTGACCTTTACGTGTTTTCATGAAGTTTTTGCTTGATCCTCCTGTTCTTGGTAGGGTAGTGTGTAAACTGCTCTCTTTTGTTTTTCAAGACTTTGATCTTTGTGTATAAAACTATTTTATTCAGTTGGATTTTTATCTGTTTTTCTTACCTCTACAGTAATCTTACCTACCTTGGCAAAATAAAAGGGCATGTGGGTTCTGTTGTTCTCTTACCTTCTGCTATTTGATAATTGTTTCTCACTTCTTAGGTACTATTCTCAGTTGTGCATTTCCTTTCTCTCTTTTAACTTTGTCCTTAAATTACTTATAAAAATACCATAGTTACTACTAAACTCTTTGCTCTTTTTCTTTCCTTTCTTATACTTTTAGTTATTATACAAACATATCAATATGTATCTGTAAAAATTGACTAGTTGAGAACAAAATATAAAACGTCTGTGCTGGGTTGTGCCTGTTTGAATTCAGGTATTTTTTTTTTAATGCAGTTATTTCAAGAATTGTATATACCTATGTAAGACATGTCAGATACAAGTAGTTACTAATAAAGATACTGGTAAATTGGTGAAGCTTACAGCCTTTGATATTCTTTTTTATATTTTTTAAGTCATAGGTCTGATTCAGTATTGTGTATATAAATCATCAGTGTATTTGTTCTGTGGAGTTAAGTTGTGCTTTGAGTATGGGTAGTACAGAGCCAGCAATATGTAAAGTAGGAAGCACACCAGTAAAGTAGGAAGATAGACTGATACAACTGCTAAAGAGACCAGCTTTGGGAAAATACTCCAGGACTTAACGTCCTTGGTTTGAGTTTCTTCCTCATTTAATAAAATGAAGAAATTAAAGTACTTTTGTGCTCCTTGCAGCTCTTAATTTCCGAGAAAAGTTCATCCTTGTTTTTTAAAGCTCCCTTGTCGTTGTTAATGGCATTATTATTTTGCAGACCATTGGACTGATTCTTATGCATTGGATTACCAAATTATATTTGTGTATTTTCTATTTCCTTCACGTTTTAGAAGTATTTTCTTATTTTTCTCTAGTTGTGAGGACCTTTCATATTTACTTGAATTACTTCAGTAACTTCAGTATTCTATCTTTATACCTTCTCAGACTAAATCTGTTAGGCCCTTAAAGCAAGGTGACATCAGCAATGGTATAGTGTTTTGCTGTAAGAAATTAGTTGAAACTAAAATGTGCCAAGGAGAGCTGTATCTTTTTTATCTTAAACCAACTGGAACTATCATTAACTATTGGTGTTAAAAGCAACCCTACTGAAGTCTGCTTTAGACCATGAGAACATGACTTACGAACATTCCTTCCAGTCTTCTCACTCCAGCTTCTAGGACATCAAGTAACTAAAATCAGGCATGTCTTGACCCAATTTCAGAACCCCCAGTCTAAAAACAGCCAACAGTTAGTGCTTGAGTATATGCATTTGGAACCAATAGCAGGTCACATTGAATTGATATGTTAAATTTTTAGTAATAGACCTTTAATTGGCCTCATATATATGTTTTGTAATATTCTGTCCCACACCCCACACCACTTTGTTTTCCTTTTGAACTTCCATTGGAAATAATTGCTTTGACTAAATTATATTTGCAACTAATGTAACAATTACTTTGCAACTCTTATATTTCACTGAAGAGTTCATCTTTGCTTTTTTAAGCAATTACTTTTTAAAAATGTTTGAGCTTTTGTCTCAGATACTTAACCTTTAAATTGAAATTTCTAACAATGCTCTTAATCTGGTTTTCCCTTCAGTGTATCTCTCCAGATGTATTTTGCTTGATGCATAATAACCTTTCTCCTTTTCTCAAGTTGTCCGTGTGTCCCATTATTTTTCATATTCCTTCCAGCTCACATCTCTCTCCACACTCAAACTTATGTTCCGCTTTAGTATGGTTTAGTCACACTTTAACATTTAATGTAATCTTATTGATGTCCCCAATACATATGCATAGCACTTTTATTTATTTTCAGGTAGCAATAAAAAAATAGTGCATATTTATTAATGTTTCATTATTAAGAATAAAATTCATGTCTTGTGATATAAACTCTCTTGGTAGGCCATAGGTAGTCAGAATATATTGAAAGATATTACTTTGCTTATTCAAACATATCGTAGTGGTAACTGTACTTTAAAAATGTCCCTCAAGATACACTATAAAATATTTCACATGTTCCTGTTAAATTACTTTCAGATTAAACTGAGTATAATCGAAAGGCTTTTCCTGCAGAACAGCTTCTAAATATGTTCTTCTGGTTAACACTGCCAATAGGGACACTTATGTAGTGATAACTTAATACCCTGAGTTTTTTAAAGAAAGTATCATTAATAATTACTTTCTCAGAATAAAATGTGTATGGAGTCATATCTTGCTTATGCTTATATGGCTTTGTTTTTTTTTAGCATGATATAGTGAGAGAACCCTAAGTCTTTGCTAATATCTTGAAGCTTCCTATGATATGCCTCAAGCCATGTAACAATTTAGCCAATTACAAACTTAGAACAGTTCACACAAGGCTGTCCTCACTTCTGATACCAGCTGCTAAGCTTAGGGGGTTTCTCAAATCACCCCCAGGTTTAATAATTTACTTCAAGGCCTCACAGGATTCACTAGAAACTATTACACTGATGTTTACAGTTTATTACAGGGAAAAGATACAGATGAGAATCAGCCAAAGGAGGAAGTGCATAGGGTGGAGTCTGGCAAAGTACCAAAGGTGTAGAGCTTCTGTTTTCCTGTCTCTGTGGAGTCATGGACAGGTTATTTTCCCTGTATCTGCATGTGACAATACTCATAGAGTATTGCCAGCCCAGGGAGCTCACTAGAGCCTTGGTGCTGAGTTTTTACTGAGGTTTAGTCAGGTACTGCCAGTGTGGCTAACCCTTAAGTGCCAGACCTCTGGAGGCATAACTGATAACCGTATGGCCCTGAGTCCTCAGGCAAAGAAAGATACTCCTGTCATGCGTGATATTCCAAAGGCCTATAGATCACCTCCTGGTAGCCAAGGGCAAAACCAGACCTGTCTTTGGATAAGATTAATTTCTCACTATACAAGGTATCATCTGCAAATTTAGTAGTATATTTTTCTAGTAATTTCTGTGAATTTATACCCTGAGCATATGTGGAAGCTTTCTGCAAGAAAGTATATGTTTTGTTCAGTTAACTGGTAAGCTTTCATTATAATTTCCATTATTATTTCCTTCATAAATGTCTGTCTTAATTCCTTTATAAATGTCTCTTTCTCTCTTTATTTCTTCTTTCTACTCACCAACCCCTGTGTCCTGTCCTGTATTTTCTGTTTTAAGCTAATTCCATGTAAAAAAACCCTTTTGGTGCCTTATGTTTTACGGTTATTTCTGATGAGTGAAAACAACTTCTGGCTTATTTTCCTCACTTTGTTTCCATATGGCGTTTTAATCTACTAAACACTTTTCAGACATTTTTGTCAAGATTAACCAAGTCTTAAAATATGAGAAATATTTTCTGTATTTTCCAGGTGGAAAAACTGAGCCATAAAATTTATTTCTTCAAGACCAAGTTGGGTTGAGGATTAGTTCCCCTGTTCTTGTAAATTCTGCGAATGTGGTCCTTAGTTGCTGAAACCAAAAATCATTATGTTCTAGTCTTGATAATTTTATTATCACAAGGTATCTGAAACAAAAGTCTTACATTTATAGATACAGATATATAAGGTGCATGTAGAAAGGGTAAGTTTTGTTATAGATGTATTTGTACTTCATTAATTCAATATTCTGCTGTAGTAAAATATATGAAATGCTACTTTGAATAGAAATAGTTTAATTTGCACACTAACATTGCTCTTTCCTCATTACTGTTACATTCTTCACTGCTGTCTTAGGATGTCAACCATGGATTAACTGAGGTAAGTTTGGTGTAATGAAATCTTATGTTCAGAGTAAGATATACTGTTTTATCTTGAGTGATAGGAGAGCCAAAGGTCTTCTTTTATGTGTGACTTTTATTTATTTATTTGTAATTATTTTTTAAATGAGTGTATATAAATTGTATAACATTTCAGAGGAATTTACTGAAGAAAATTGAAACCTCTGTGTGATACCTTTCAACACTGTTTGCTTTAGAATAGTTCCTATCCTCCTAAGGTCTTCCAATATAAAACAATTTGTGTCCTCAGAATATAAGAAAGCAGACTTCTAAAATTTGACAAATGCCTACTCAGAAAGTCAGAAAAGATTTTACATTAGAAAAGTAAAATGATCTTCAGTTTTTAAACTAATAATTTATACTCAAGGTGGTCATAAAATTAAGTAAACTCTTCCAGTATAATTGTCTTTCTCAATGTCTAATGTACTATCTGAATATATAAGCACTTTGGCTTACATAATCAACAAGTTTAAACCACTTTTTAATTCTTGGAAATGTTGCTATGCTTTATACTTCTGGTATAAATGTCAGGTTTTGTTGTCTTGCTTTGCTTCTCTTTTTTCCCAGCACTTCAACCAGTGAAGCACTTAAGAGTTAATTTTAAATTATAAGCCTAGCATTCTTCCTCATCCTCAGATAGAAGTAGCCCATAAAATTATGAAATCATAGAGTTTTGGAGCTAAAGCGGACTTTAGAAATTATCTCAGTCTTTTTAAGTTTTGAGTAGTGAAGTGATTTTCTAACATCAGTAGCTAGTGACACAGGATGGAGGTAAAAATTGTCCTATGAAAAATAGTGAAGAATGATAATTTACTCTAAGGTTAATATAACTCAGCATGTTGTCTTGTATGTTAATAGCAGAGTTGATAGTCTACTTGTATTGGGCACTACTGGGTTATTTGTTGGCTATAGTTAAGAGAGACTTGAACAAATTGAAATACATTTAAATGAAAGCAGGATGGAGAAGAACTGGAAACCATATTATTTTCAGAATGACTGGAAAAACTGGGAATGTTTATTTCAGGGAAAAAAGGACTAGGACTTTGGTAGCATGGAGACTTGAAGTATTTAAACAATGTATGTTTCCCTGCAGGGGTAAAATGAAGACTGAAATACAAAACCAAGTGATGCATAGTGATGTATAGAAATGCAGATTCAGACATAATATAAAGAACTTCTAAGCACTTAAATAGAAGTGGGTTGTTTGATGGTGTACTAAACCTTCACTGGAAGCATTATAGCAGGGGCTGTGTCAGGGTTGGCACCAAAATATTGCCTTGTTGATTAGATGGTAGGAATACATCCTCCTCTAACTGCAAGAATCTGTGACTGGCAGTTTGTATTTTTCTGCACTGTTAAAGTATGTAGCAGTGAATCACTGTATTGCTGCTATGTTTTATAGTTATCTATAAGGTGACTAATGTCTAATAATGATAATAATAGATCAGTTCTCTTAACTTGAAAGGTTAACAAAGAATAATAGTGCTAGTTGTACTTACTTTTTTGTATGTTAAAAAAATGAACATTGTTGGGCTCATAATAATGTTGGCACTCTAATGGCATGCAACACTGTTAAATGAATAAGCAGACTATGTTAAGATAGTAATAGTTATGATTTTATAGACTGAAGTATACATTTCTCTCCTAAAATTGTGAATTGAAGTTATTCCAGTGCCTCCTAGGATTATCAGGAAAAATTCTGTATTTGGAGATAGGCAACATGTTTTATTTATAATTCCAGAAAAACCTTGAATTTAGTTCTTAAATAAACCAGAAAAATGTCATCAGCTTTACAAGAAAAAAATAGTACCTACAAGAATATATCACATACCAATTTGTACTAAGTTAATTTTTATTTCCAGTTGGCAGATATCCCTGTTACAATTTGCACATACCCATTTGTATTTGATGCCCAAGCAAAAACTACTCTGTTACAAACAGATGCAGTCTTGCAGATGCAGGTAAAATATTGTTTAATACTAATCTGATTTGAGAATGGTTTTTGAATTGTTTCTGTGATGTTTTTAAAAAATAAATACTTGAAACTTGCCTATAATTAGTAATTTTTTGAGGCATTTTGTACCTTTGTGGTCTTTTGCAAAGTACTTTTGGTACCTATAAAGAGGACTGTTGTTGCATGTGACATGTATAATATTATGAAGGCTACTTTTATATATTTAAAACAAAGTAGAATAGTTTAGCCTTTTATCATTTTATATTTAAAAAATATATAAGCCTATTCCATTACAGAAATATGCAATCTTTATAAATAATTTTACTTGTTTACTTGAGAAAATGTTGCTTTCCTTTAAATCTTGTTTCATTATACAACTCTTATTTATATACTTGGTAAAAGATGGAAATGACTAGAGGTGAGAAGACATTAAAGTATGAGGCATTTGATCTCTCATTAGGAGGAGGATATGAAATTTCCTCGAAGAAAGTTTTAATAATTAAATGAGGTGTTTTCCTGAGGTCTTCCTCCCCCTTCTCCTTTCACCTACCCCCACCCCCTCCATTTTATGTTGAGCTTTCTTTCATTTATAATAAGGATTTTTAAAACTAGTTTACACTTTGACTTTGAAGGGCGACAATAGGTTTGCTTTATGTTTTGAACCTATTAATTAAAGTGTTTTTGAGTTTCTTCTTTTGGTACATAGATTATCTGACTATAGAGGCTGAGGACTAAGAAGAGGATAAGAGAAGACCTTGGGCACTTAATACTCTAAAAAGTGCTGTAAAAAATACCCCCACCCACCATTTTGATAGCTACTTTTATTCCTTAAAATAAATGCATTCAGTAATGTAAGTCCCTGCAGATATTTAAATAAGAAACACTAGGGGGGATTTTAGAGATGTGATTATATCCATTTTCATTGATAGAAGAAATAAATAGTTTTGTAGGGTTCTATACTAACAGTTAGTAAACCAATTTTTTGGCAGTCTTTGCTAAAACAGTAAGTTAATCACTTGGTGCTTTTTATATAGGATATTCCTTTTTAGAACAAGAACATAGGAAAAAAACCATTATAAAAGCCTTTACAGTACAGCATGGAGAAGACAATGACTTACTGTCTTACTACACTGATAGGCAGTGACTTCAGTAGTAGGGTGGGCCCTTGAAATCGTGGATGAGTGTTGAAACCATAATATTGATGTGAAACCTTCATAAGATTGTGTATCAATGATACTTTAATAAAAAAAAAGAAATGCCATATACAAAGGTCAAATAAAAAAACCAAAATGCTTGGTTTGTGAGCACATATGGTGATCAGTCTATTAGGTGAATGTTTATAGTACCTCTTAGCCAGGCTGTTTCTTACCATCTTTGGAAGTTTGTTTTAATGCTGTTTTCTTTTTCTTTTCACTCTCCATCAGTTATTTTTTTGAGAAACAACAATGTTCAGATTTATCAGTGTTATTATAATTCCATTGTTACTTAATAATGTTATAATTAGGTATGTATACATTAGTGTAAAACACTCAAAAGGATACTGTTTATACTTAGAATACACTTATTAAGCTGTTATTCTTTACTAGAGACTGTTAGGTCCTTATGTCAATTCAGGAGTTTAGGAATTACAGAAATCATAGGATATATATAATTAATAGGTAGATGTTACCTTTCCAGTTACAGTAGCTTCTTTATGGCATTGCTATTAAAATTTTGATCTTTTGTTTTCCAGATGGCTATTGACCAGGCCCACAGACAGAATGTCTCCTCTCTTTTTCTCCCAGTGATTGAATCTGTGAATCCCTGCTTAATTCTAGTGGTGCGTAGAGAAAATATTGTGGGAGATGCAATGGAAGTCCTTAGGAAAACAAAAAATATAGACTACAAAAAGCCACTCAAGGTAATTTGACATTTTCTGTTATATAATAGCAATTTTTATTCAGAAAATATTTAAAGTAATTGTTTTTAGGGTGTCTTTGAAACAAATAAATTACATATTCAATATTTACAAACTATTGCTGAGCATTTATTCATAATAAATAACATGTTATATAGGGTTTCCAGATTTATAGTTTCATTTCTTCACATTATTTACATTATGCTATTTTAGGTTATATTTGTTGGAGAAGATGCTGTGGATGCAGGAGGGGTACGCAAAGAATTTTTCTTGCTCATCATGAGGGAATTACTGGATCCTAAATATGGCATGTTTAGGTATTATGAAGATTCCAGACTCATTTGGTTTTCTGATAAGGTAAAAAGTCCAAACATATCAATTACTAATATGTATGTACCTATGTATGTATATGTGTCAAGTAAGAGTTGTTACTGAATTTCTAACATTCAGATAGCTGCTTTTCTACAGTTAGAAAAATTATAAACTTTTGGACTCAGTCATCAAAATGTATTAATGCTTACCACACATTTCAAATTAGCAAAATAAATTAGGGAATGTGGTCAGCCTGAAACTTACGTTGACTGTTCCTTATGCTGATTTAGATTTAAGAATTGAATTACTACCGTGTTAACTTTTCTTCTGGGAAGAATTTATTGTGACAGATCATTGAGTTCTCTACCTTATCATTTAGGGTTGAGGTAACTACCTAGCAAACTAGCTTATTTCTTCCTGCTTAAGTTTTTGTAAATAGTCATGCTCAGTCGTTTATGTGTTGTCCATGGCTGCTTTCTAGCTACAGCCAGCAGAGGCAGAGTTGAGTAGTTACAACAGAACCCTGTGGCTAACAAAGCCTGAAATATTTACCATCTGTCCCTTTATAGGAAAAGTTTGTTGACCCCTGATTTAGAGACTCTAAGTGGAATGTATGGTTTGTAGAACTCTGAATTGAAAGAAATTTGAGTAGAGTATATACTATTGGTTCTAAAAATCTTGATGTATTATTTATTCATTCTTCTAGGAGAAAAATGGCTCTTGTTAACAGTCATTGATGAACAATGTTTAGGCTCATTAATTTATTAGGGGTGCTACTCTAATTCTAACATTTTCATTTTATTAGCTTGTATACTTCTATATAGAGAAATTTCTCCGTATCTACTATCTGGTTCCTTAGCCCAGTTCATATGGGAAAGGATTCTCTTCAGTTAACAAATTTTTCAAAAAAGTGAATCTATTCATTAGTATACTGCAGTGGCTACAATTCATTTTTAAAATTTTATTTTCAAATATTATGTATTCATTGATTGAAAAAACTTGTCTGATCTATTGCAGTTATCATCTTATTTGATGCTCATATTATCCCATCTTTGCCCAGTGTGAGGTCTTTAAGTTGAGTTCTTTTGATTCAGCCTTAATGCTGTTGGCAGCTTCCTTGCTACTTGATGTTCCTGTATGGTAAAATGTTCCAGATTTATACATTTACTGCCTAACAGTATCAACTTTATCACCAATATTACAATAACTGAAAATAGGCTTTTAAAAATTGTTTTGCAGGATTTTTTTGTCCTTTGAGTGTATCCCAGGAGAATACACACTGAAATAACTGTTTTGGTATCACTTGACATTGTTAGACTATCATTATACCACCAACTGAATATGCATTTAGGTTAACTTGTTTAATTTTAGTTTTGATTTTTAGGGATTACTTATTTAAATTCAACAGTTTTATAATTACATTAAATATTTACATAGTTCTAAAGTCAAATTTACAAAAGAAGATATCTAAAATAAGTCTAAATTCTGTCTCTACCCTCTCCACGTTATTTTCTCCCTCCTCATACAGGTAGCCTTTTTAAAAGGAATGTTATGCTTTATCTTTTTTAAAAAAGATTTAAATACAGGTATTTAAATACAAGTAGATAGCAGTATATTACATAACCAATGTCTGTTTCTTGGTTTTAACCATAGTTATTTAAGCTGTTTTCATTGGGGAAAATTGAGTGAAAGGTGCATGGTAACTCTCTGTACTATTTATGTTATTCTTATGAGTCTTGAAGTATTTTAAAATAAATATTTAAAAAAAGAAGTGGTATATCACATATTTTTTCCTCCATCAAGAAAGGGTATTTTAATTTATGTAGGAACTTGAAGCATATTCTCATGTTGTGATGAATTACTCAGAAAGAATGAAGAAATATCAATTGCAGGAACAGAGTCCTTAAGTTGTGAAGAAAGTGTGGAGGTTAGTGCACTAGTGGAGAATTGACTGTAGTTAGACACATAGATCCACAATATTAGGAGGGAAAGCCAAGTATATATGTAAATACAAATCTCTTAGTAGATTTGATGGTGAGAGGTTATGAAAGTTCTCTCAGAATTACCTCTACTTTGAAGTAAGATATAAAGTCATTAAAGGGTTAGGATGGAAGGAGGGTGTTGGAGGTCTGAAGAAAGGAGCAGTAGTGAAATAAACACTTTGGATACCCTGGGGGATGGGAAAATAAATTGACCGTAAAAATAAATACAGAGTTAGTCTGGCAGCATTGGAGGCCCATTTGAAACTTACATTCATGAATTTAAAATGAGACAAGTCAACCAGGCTCTATTTTGTCTGTAGTCACATTTAGCTGCTCACGCAGAGTAAGGATGAGACAGTCAGTTGATTTTAGTTGACAGATTGGGGTTTTAGTTGACAGAAGGGAATAAGGGACAAGGGAGTGTGATTGTCTTGGTGGATGGATCATGAAATTTAAACTTTGTAAGGAGGGAAGTGTGAAGACTAGGTTGGGGGTGATAGTTTTTTTAAAAAGTGGGGTGAATGAATTGTATCTATTAGTTGAGTTAAACTGAGAAGCTAGTGTATTGGATGCCTTTTTGCCTTTATATTGAAATCATCACATAAACACTGGCAGGGTAGTGGTAGAGAAAGAAAGCATAAAGTCTTCAGGTGACTATACAAGGAACAGTGGCAGGGGATGTGGTCAGTTGGCATGTGTTTCAGAGGAGCTATGGGTTTGAGGAAGGCAAATGGAAGGAGGTATAGAAGGAGGGAAGAACTAAGAGATCTACCTCTAGGGATGAGGGGTTGGAAGTAAAACAGACAACATTTATGAGAGCTGCAGGGGAAATAGTGTCTTTAGAAGATAGTATTGTTCACTTACTAAAATGGGAAGTAAAATTTAGAGGATATGGGTAGTTTTCCAAATTCTAGACTCTGAGTTCCAGTGGAAGCAGTGGAATGTTTTGGTGGAACAAGGACAGTAGGAGACTGTGTATGTATTAGGGTCTATACAGTGCCACATGGAGGTGTGATTACGGATAATTTGAGTTTGAGGCCTCCTATGTTGACAGATAAATGGCAGGTAAACATGGTGGAATAGTCCTAATGGCCTCTGAGGTAGGTGGACAGTCTGCTCAAATAATGGTCTCCTTTTGAAACTGTTCTCTTCCAGCGGTTTGTAGTACTGTGGCAGATAGATTTGAGAGGGTACATGGGGTAAAGGCTTGTCCTGCTAGGAACATAAGAGTGTTCCGTGGACCTTTATTCATTTCTGTAGAAGTACTGTTTTGAGAACAGCAGTGGGGTAGTCTTAATCTTAAGCTTTATCATGGTTCTCTGTAAGATTTTTTCAGTGATTTGGCCAATGGTTGAATCCTCTTTTTTTACTTTTGACATGTTCCTATTATTCCTTAATTACTCCTTAATATTTGGTACAACGAATGTCCCAAGCTCATCTTGTGTTTCCTCCACCCTATTTCTGGCATTAGCCATTTCTCCAAAGAGAAAATTTGGAGAAGTCTCCTAAGACTTCTGACTTCTTTAAGCGAAAATTATATTTAGAAATCAAGCTATGGATGCTAATAAGTGTGCTCATTGCTACCATGGAGCCATTCCTTTCAGATTCACAGCAGACAGAACTAAGAATTATATGTATGTATACATGTACATACACACATCTCATGACTTTCAAAATATGGAGCTATATTTATATATGTTAAAAACCGTAAGATCATACCAATACCTCTAATTCTGTACAAACACCACAGAATTTACTCTAGCCTCTCCCTTTCCATTATTTATTTATTTATTTATTTTTATTTTAGAATCATTAATCTACAATTACATGAGGAACATTATGTTTACTAGACTCCCCCAATCACCAAGTCCCCCCCAACAAACCCCATTACAGTCACTGTTCATCAGCATAGTAAGATGCTGTAGAATCACTACTTGTCTTCTCTGTGTTGCACAGCCCTCCCTGTGCC